AAGAATTACCCCACCCATGACTTGGAACTTGCCGCAATCATACACGCCTTGAAAACCTGGCGCCATTATTTATACGGAGAGACCTTTCAGATCTATACCGATCATAAGAGTTTGAAACACATATTCACCTAAAAGGATCTCAACATGCGTTAGAGTAGATGGATGAAACTCCTTAAAGACTATGATTGTGATATCATATATCATCCGGATAAGGGCAACGTGGTGGCAGATGCCCTCATCAGGAAAAGTACAGGTATATTAGCCCATTTAATGGTTTCAGAACGCAGGCGAATTAGGGCCACACAACAGGTTCGACTTCAGAACCTGAAGAGAGTCGCATGTTTGGGTCGTCTGACCATTCAGCTCGAGTTAATATAGAGAATAAGGGAAGCCCAGTTAGTCAACCTCGCCCTAATAGCCCGCAAAAATGATGCAGAACAGGGAGTGAGCTCAGAATTCCGAATATCTGCGATGGGTTACTCCGGTTCTAAGATAGGGTGTGTATCCCAGACGACAGTGAGTTGAAGAAAGACATCATGACAGAATCCCACAGCTCGAAGTTTGCCATGTATCCCGGAAGCACCAAAATGTACCAAAGCATGCGACCCCGATTTTGGTGGAATGGGATGAAGAGGGATATAGCTGACTTTGTATCTAAATGCTTGATATGTTAGCAGGTCAAGATAAAGCATCAATGCACAGGCGGGTTACTTCAGCCCTTACCGATCCCGGAGTGGAAGTGGGAACATATCACCATGAACTTCGTAACGGGATTACCTAAGGCACGTTCAGGACATGATGCCATCTGGGTAATTATTGACCGGCTTACCAAGTCTTTCCACTTCCTAGCCATCAGGATGACCAATCCTTTGGACAAGTTGGCAAAAATGTATATCCGGGAAGTAGTCAGATTGCATGGAGTTCCAGTGACAGTGGTATCCGACAGGGACCCCAGGTTCACTTCTCGGTTTTGGAGTAGCTTTCAGCAGGATATGGGAACAAAGCTGTCTCTCAGTACTGCTTTCCATCCTCAGACTATGGACAGTCAGAAAGGACAATCTGTACACTTGAGGATATGCTTTGAGCTTGCGTCCTTGACTCTGGAGGCCATTGGGACAACCATCTACCCCTGATAGAATTTGCCTACAACAACAGCTACCAAGCGAGCATTGGCATGGCTCCGTATGAGGCGTTATATGGGCGCCCATGCAGATCACCGATTTGTTGGGAAGAAGTGACGACATAAAATTATCGTCCCAGAGTTGGTGGAGGAGACCACGTCTAAAATAGTAAAATCAGAAAGAACATCAGACAGTCAGAGCAGGCAGACGAGTTATGCGGACACCCGGAGGAGAGATTTAGTGTTGAACAAGGCAACTGGGTATTTCTTAAGGTCACTCCTTTCAAAGGAATTAGTAGGTTTGGCAGGAGGGGGAAACTGAACCCCCGATTTATTGGACCACATGAAGTTTTAGACAGGATTAGCATTGCCACCTACAGACTAGCACTGCCTCTAGAGCTCTCTAAGGTCCACAATGTGTTCCATGTATCCATGCTACATAAGTACAACCCAGACCCCTCTCATGTCTTGGCTCATGAACCGCTTCCACTCTAAGAGGACTTATCTTATGAGGAAGTACCGGTCGGTATTACGGACCGAAAAAGCAGAATACTCCGTAACCGGAAAATATCATTTGTAAAGGTAGTGTGGCAGAACCACTCGCCAAGGGAGGCTACCTGGGAGCTAGAATAAGACTTTAGATGCCAGTATCCCCATTTGTTCGATCAAGAGTAAAAGACAAATTTAGGGGACCAAATTTCTTTAAGGGGGGAGAGTTGTAACACCCAAAATTTTTCTTTTATTTTATTTTAATTTTATTGGAATTTTGTCTAATTTTGTTTTATTTTAATAATTAATTTATAAGATTTTAATTTAATTTAATTTAATTTAATAGAAACAAAAATAATAATAATAATAAAATAGAGAAATTATTTTTGGGATTTAATTGAAATTGATGTTGGGAAAAAGGGATGAAAATTTGGATTCTGGAGGTGTTTTTGAAAAGAAAATCGAAAATCGGGGGTCAAAACGTAATTTTAAAAAATAGTGCCACGTCAGCAGCCCCGACCAACCAGAAGGCCGTGTGGCAGGGACGCTGACGCGGGAAGCCACGCGGGATGGAGACACGTGGGCGATCTACGTGCGCGCGATCGAACGACCCAGATTCGTTCCCGCGCGCACGGACGGCCCAGATTTCACATGTGCAGACGGCCCAGATCGCATCGCGATAGACGGTCCAGATTTATTTCCAATTTAATCGCGATCAGACGGCCCATATTAAATCATGATGGACGCCTCATATTAAAAAGAGAATGTTATAAATAATCGCATCCACACTCAACCCCAAACCCTAGCCGCCAGAACCCTCGTCGGAGAAGACATCCCAGCCACTGGAGGAATCAACCGCCGCCACCCGCCGCCGCACCGGAGGATTTTTCGGCCGCCAAACGAGGTAAAATTTATCCCTTTGGTTCGTTTTTTGATGTTGAACCTCCATGTGGCCAAATCGGAGCCAAACCACTGGCCAATTGGCCAGAAAATCCCGCCGAAGTCCAGCAGCACCGCCGCAGGTTTTCTTGATTTTTGCCTCCGATGAGGTCCTTCTCGGTTCCCATTCGATGTAATTTTTATACCACTGTGACCACCGTCCTTTTCTCTACAGGTTGACCGGAGCAAAACACCAAATCGCAACTCGCGCCGGAGGAGCCGTCGCACTCGAGAGCTTCGCCACCGGTAAGTCTCATTTTTCTAGAATTTTTTGGCCCACCGAAGCCCTAGGGGTGTTTTGTCACAGGAACCAATGCAAGTTTGGCTGAATTCGGTCGAAAACGGTCAGAAACAGCCAACCCGAGGTGGATCGCCGCCATGGGCGGCGACGCCGTCGCCAGAGCACGGCGGAGCCGCCGTGCCGGTATTCCAAAATTGGTCGAAAGGGCCCTGGGTCTGATTTGGAATTTTTTGGGGACATGTGCAGGTATCAGAAGTGTGTTTCAATTTCCGAAGAAAAATTCAGGGAATTTAGGGACTACCCGTAGGCACAGTGAGAACCCAATTTCAAACTCCGAAATAATTAAGGATCTCTCACCCTATTTTCTATTACGGCATTAAAGCTTAATAAATGATAAAATGGTATGTTATGAATTAATACTTATGTATAATTAATTAAGGATGCTAATGGAGCCCGAATCTGATATATTTTTCGGTCAATTGTTGTTTGATTTATTTTACAGTTTTAAATGCAATATGGTGCCTGATGTGTTTATTCTATGGTTTCGTATGCATGAATCACGGTTTCATTTATTATGATTTGAATTATTGTGAACTCGATGTTGTGTTGCCTTGTTTGGTGTCTATTACTGGTTTATGTGTTTATGTTTGATTGGATAATTGAGATTAAAAAAAAAAAGAAAAAGGTATGTGAATTAATAAATGGATAATGTCGACAGCCTGACTAGATATATTGGGAGATGGTGGACGAATCGAGTCCATAGGGAACCCTACTAGGAACGTGGTCTCTCATATCGGACGAGATATGGAGACTTTATGTATTTTGGCGCCCATACCAGACGGGGTATAGAGATGGTTCACCCTCATACCGGACGGGGTATTGAGGTTTATGGTTTTGGCGCCCATACCGGACGGGGTATTGGGACGGCCCTGGAATTAAGTTATTAATGTGAATGGTTCACGTGTAGCGGGGACCCCTTATGGATCCTCATAGATACTAGTAGGCTGATAAAAGAGGTAATTTATTGTCTGATGATTGAAATACAAAAGCATGATATGTGTTACGTTACAAAGTGTGCATGATCTTATGATGTTATTGTTTCTCATAAGTTATTTTCATGAATATCATTGAGGTAAGTGGACAGTAAAAATTTTTATTATTGATAAATGAGTTTGTTATAAATTATGCTCAATTAGTCGTTTTTGTTTTCTACCAACCTTTACTTCTGTGACAGTGAGATAATGTCATGTCTTTACTGGGGTAGTGTAGCTCATTCCTTACTTAACTATTTCAGATCAGCAGGACTTCGTTCCCGAACCCGTTCTGCAGTAAGACGGCGAGTAGAAGCCTAAGAATTTATTAGTTTTCCTTATAATATTCATTCATGGTATTTCCTTTAATTAGTTTATTCTTTAATACGTTTATACGTTTTGATTATTGCGTAAGGGATGTTAATCATAATTTATTTTATTTCGTTTCCACACTTAAAATAAATATATACATTTCCTTTTAATTTCTGGGACCGTTACAAATTATAATTCAATAAAAATAATTTTTATAATGAACACTTATTTTTCAAGATAAATTGTCACATGTGTCTAATAAAAAAAATTAAATCATTAACCACGCAGAATCAAGGTGAATAACATCAAAAGAAAATAATCAAGAGATGTTTATTTGAGTCTTTTTAAAAAATATATATATATAGTTCATTTAAATAAAAAAATATTATAAATAATAATTTGATTAAAATAAAATTATATATTTAAACTTTAAAATAAAATATTTATTTCTACTTAATTTTTTTTTAAAATAAAAAGCGTGAACAGTATATTGATATTGATACAAAAAACGTGCAACAAGTACAATATTTACAAGTTAATTAGAATATTAAAAAGAATATGTAAATCCTCCCCATCTAAGCCGATGGTTTTAGAAACATTATCCTTAGGAAAGTCAAACCCGTCAACATCTTCAAACCCGTTCATTCTTGGGCAGCAACATTACCACTTCTTTTACCTTCACCTAGTTAACCAAAAAACGGAACAACTGCGTGTGCTTCTAACAAGTTTTGCAGCATCAACCCCCTTCAGCAATCTACCAATGACACGGGGGAATAAAATCTGATATATATATATATATATTCTCAATCCCACAATAATAAATTTAAGGTAACGTATTCAGAGTATAGACATCAATTTGAAAAGCAGGTAGAAAATGATTTACTGTTGCATTTAACATGAGAAGGGAAGATATGGATTTACTGACATCAACATGACAGCAATCTACCAATGGCACAAATGATTTACTGTTGCATTTAACATGAGAAGGGAAGATATGGAGACCAAGACAATAAGAAAAACAAAAGAAAATTTGAGTGGGAAGTAAAAATAGTTCAACTGAAATTGTATCCTACAAGAATTAAAGCTGCGGCAATATATGCCCAGAGATAATACGGCAGAGACAAACTATGAGCACTACTGCATTCATCATTGGCTCCACTAAAGCAGCCGGGCCTGCTTATCTTAGCCACTCCTCCTTCCACAGCAAAGCTACTATTAGGTTTACCATTGCTGAACAACACACACCAGAAATAGGGAGATCCACCATCACTCCCACTTACAGCAGCACCAACTTCAGTGTGGTTCTTATCATGCAAAATCTGTAAACTCTTTTCATTTTGCATCAGAATTTGCGAGAATGCTTCGGGAGGAGGAACATATTTGGTTTGGCAGCCGAGCAGGCGCCCTGTGATGGGTGAAAGGGTTGAGAGCTCAACACCACAGTTGGGAGCAAAAGTTTCAGCAAATGCAGAATCAAGAGGCTTCTTGGCATTGGGCCCTCCAACAGCATCACAGTCACCTTGGTATGCTTTTATATACTGCAAAGCAACACAGCCAAGACCTGGATTGTCAAAGAGGGCTGTTCCTTTGTGTGCAGTTCTGTTCTTGTTAAGCACACTCACCAACTCATCCGCAGGATTATCAGTTACCTTCACTGTAATTACCGCACATAATCTAATAAATAAAGACATTTAACATATATATTAATCTTAAGTAATTAATTGAACCAACGAAGGCCAAAGATTTAAGTGATAAGAAAGAAACCAGTTAATTATTTACCCTCTAACTTGCTACTATCCGCCCATGAATTTCCATTAAGCTGAAAGCACAGATCAAGCATTTATCCACCAAACTTTGTGATAAACAGCCTAACTAATTACTTATAATCCAACAATTAACCTTACAAGATTAAGAGGTTATATCTTATATTTATATATTCAAGCAGAGTTGGCTAGATGGAGACTTTGATGCATTCATGGGAGGAACTAGTAGAATGGGAGTATTATGTCATATGATTCTATATTCTATATTCTATATTTAATATTGAGGTAGCCGATACAATGTGGGCGTGGGCGTTTTTCTTGGTTAACCAAATTTGTTTTTCATTTCTCCATCATCTCTCAGTAACTAGGCGTAACATACTTGGAGTTTCAAGCATGAGAGTCCGGAAAGAGGTGAAGGGATGAGTTTTGGTCTAAAAACAGGAGATCTAGTACCACAACGATTTCAGAGAAGATCCATCCCGATTCTTAACCAAAAATTCACTCAAATCTGAACGTGCAACCAACAAAGCAGACAATCCATACATTTAGCAAGATGCGCATTAACAATCAATGCGGATTTATGAGCAAATTTAAAAAGGTCTGCGCAGATCAAGCAGCGATTACAAGCAATGCATATTGTTGAAAATCAACTAATCTATCCGTGAGTGAGTGCGAAGACGAAATTGAAGTGAGTTATACCTTGGGGATTAGCACAAGCAGATAGGAAGAGAAATGGAGCTAAAACAAACCACAAGTGCATCGCCATTCAGTATCTTCTTTAGACAGAGTGAGAGAGAGGGAGGAAGAAGGCAGAGAGAAGAAGAATCTAAGAGTTGAAGTTGAGTAACACGTCCAGTTCCTTTCGGATGCTTCAAAGTTGAATTGCCGACATGCTCAGATTCGGATTGCGGGTTTAACCCGACTTCATTACTTATGGTTACAGACTAGCAAAAACTATAATCATCTTTGTAAACTTACTATTTATAATTTTTTTATTATTATTATTTTAAATTTAATGGTTGCTAAATTTTCAATTTCTTTTTTTAAAAAAGAAAGACACAATTTAAAATCCAGTTGTTTCTCTCGAAAGGAATAAAGAAAGAATCCAGTTGTTTGCGTTCTGTCTTTTGCATTCATTCACCAACCACTAGTTATAAGCATTATTTTTTTAATAATTAAAAATTAATATTACAATCTCGAAATTAGAATAGTTATTTCAAAATTTTCAATTTTCAATTTTCTTTCATTTACAAATAAAAATAAAATAAAAGTGATATTTTTATGATAAAATAAATTATTTATTCTAGTTTTGTGTATATTATAATATATTTATCTAATCATGCATAAGTATATATTATAAGGAATTATCTTTTTCTTAAAAAGTGTGTATATATATGTTTATCAATAATTTTAAATACTAATAAATTTGAAAAATCGTAGTTCAGAATTTTTACGGAAATATTATTCTAATTTAAACATAATAATAGTATTTTTGTAATTATTTTTAAGTTATAAAAATATTTTTATAAATTATTATGTTTTTTATGTGGTATTCTGGAAGTTCGTTTGGAGACGGAAAACGTTGGAAAGGGTAAATTGGTAATTTGATCTTCTGTTTGTTCATGGTAGAAAAATAAAAAATTAAAAAGAAATAAAAAAGTGAAACTAACGAACGGAAAAGAGCATTTTATTGCGGCCAAAATAATTTATTTATTTTTAATAATTTTAAATTTAATTTTTTATTTATTAATGCACAGTAAAAAATTTTAAAAATACCATAATATAATACATTTAAATATTTTACAACGATGTAGATAACGATTTAATATTTTGGCCGAGAGTGTATATAGCGAGAGGAAGGGTCTGAACTCTAATGGTATATCGGAATGGCCACTCTCAGTTCCGCGGCGCACGTTAGCAGGAGTCCTTTTGTACCTTCTACTTTCTCTTCCTTATTACTCTCCTCCTCAAATCGGAAAGCAAGCAAGCTCTGTGGAGCAAGGTGCGCACTGTCACCCCCAAAATGGCGGGAAAGCAGGCGATTGGTGTCCATCTCTCTCCTCTTCTCCTGCTTCTTCTATGCCCCTAATCGTAAGCGCGTCCCCTTTACTTTCACTTTCATCTTTCTTTTCTTTTTGGTCTGACGAGTTCCTGTAATAATCGAGGCCGTGTTTGAACATATAGCTCAAACGTAAAGTTGAATGATTGCGTTCTTCACTTTTTCTGTTATACAACCTTGCCTTAGAATTGAAGTGTTTTCCATGACATTCAAACGTGTCCAATCAAACAAGAAAAAGGTAGAAGCGGTTGAAATTTTCAGAATATTATTTTCTTTCTTAATTATTGAATTAGTCGTTGTTGCTCTGCAGGTGCGATGGCTAGCAGCCTTTTTGACAGGTATGTGAAAAGGTAAGTAATTACATTATTTAAATTTAAATGGTTTTATTTACAGGATTTTCCAGTTTCTCTATCAAGCATGGAAGTCGAGCCATATAATTTTTCACTTGAAGAACCTTCATATGCATTTTAGATTACTGGAAAAACTTTGTGGATAAGTAGTTTGTTCAATCTAAATCTCTCCCTAATTTGGTAATTGTCTTATCCTTGTTGGATTGAGAATACTAACTTGTGGGTTACTGTAATGTAAATAAATAGGAAAAAACTTGATCCTCTGGAGTCCTATATACCTGCGGTTATATTGACTCAATTGCAGATTAAAGACCTGGGTAATTCTATCAATTTCGTTTACATTATTTGATTTTTTGGTCCAGCCCTATGAATTTGGTCTAATTTTCATTTTCATAATATCTTGGTCCTCCGAATTTGTGTTGTTAGTAGAATAGGCAAAATCTTGGTTTATAGTTCATGAGATATTCTAAGTTCTATAAGAGTATAATTGTATTGACATGTTTGACGTGAAAGTTATAAGTTGAGGGATCTATACGCTCTTTCAAGAGTGTATTTTAAAAGCTGTAAGGAATAACTTTTTCGTAAATTTATTTTTTCAACTTTTCTAAAATAAGCTAATGTCATAAATTAATGTCAAGATAATGTCATTATTAAACTTGAATTTCTCACGTTTCAAAATGCTTTTGTTACTCTTTTAATTTTTATGAGTTAAACAATAAAGAAACATTTTTAGTAATGTACTTTTCTTCTCCACTCGTTGTAGAGAAAACTTTGGAGGTCGATCAACCCCGGTATGATAACTGCCGATCTCTACTACGTTATGGTCCAGCTGCTTCCTTACGTGTAAATATTCGAGCAGTAAGTTGTGGCTTTCTTACTCTGGAGCATTCTTGATGCAGGTGTATCTAGTAGTTTCTTTATTAGGATGTCTATTATAATATTTTTGCAAGACTTATACTTTGATGGTTTTTTTTATACTTTGATATTTTTGCAAGACTTATTTTTATTATTATTTTCTTATTTAAGAGTTATTATCATATTAGGCTTTGTCGGCACCCTGGTGATTCTCATTATTAATAAGACCACCTATGAATAAATATATTGATTAATTCTCATTGAATTGAATGTCTAACAACCCTGTAAGTTGTTATAACCCTAATTGTGGTTGTTGCCAATCCTTGTGATTGGTGTAGTGGATTTTTCTTTTCTTTTCTTCAAGTTTTTTGTTTTCTAAACTCTATGCTACCTCAATTTGGCACGGGAGCATACATGCTTCTGTTATCATGCTTTCACACCACAAGTTCCAAACATTTCAATATCATAAAAGAACCCTACTTCAGCCCTACAAAACTAGAAATCATAAGAGAATAGAAACATAAATACATGTTGGCCTCAACCTAATCTCCAGCCACCATTAGGAGGTGGTCGATTCTGACCCTTCCATTGGCTCTAGAGGAATCTGATCAACTCCTTCAGTAAGTCTCAGTGTCCGTCTAAGCAGAAAACTGCCACACTCTCTGCTCAAAGTTGCACTAGCCACTGTCTTGTTGGACTCCACCTCCCTTGGTCATGTCAATAACTACCAACGCCACATATGACCACACAGCCAGAACCCCTAACAACCAGCACCAGTCAGATACTGGCCTGTGGATCACAGGAGCACATTTCTACAAGTGAAATTGTTTTGTTTGACCTAATAAAACAAATTTGACCCTTCGGGTTTGACCAGCCCAGTTTAGCTATCGCCACATTGATTTTTAGAGTTTGTTTGGTCTGGTTGGTGCTTCTGCTATCTGTTTGTAAAAATGCTCTGAAAATGGGTTTTAGTATAAACAGCTTTAAAGTGAAAAGCAATATACAAACAGTGTTTTTAACATAAGATGTGATTTCATATTTAATTCTTTTATGAAACTAATAATAAATGTGAAAATATTAAAAAAAAAATTGGACAGGAATTAAAATTAATTATTATAAGTACTTAAATAATATTATTTGTCTAAAAACTATTCTAATAATTTAAATTATTTAGAAATATTTATTTTAATTTAATTATTTTATTTATTTGATTCAATATAGATGTTAATTTCAAATTATTATTATTGAATTTTAAAAGTACATAATTTATAGTGAATATAAATTTCTTAATGAGGAATTAATATTTAATTTTTATTTTAAAAATATTAAATTGATAATTGCTTCATCTTTTATCAAAAGGCAAAAACAGTTCTACTTTACCTAAAAGCACTTCTGTTTTCTAACATTTAGCCAAGCTTCTGCATTTTGATAGCAAGTTGGCCAAACAGGCACTCAATTAGTTCACATTAGTTCCCCAGGTTTTTGGAAGTACTTTTTCTGTTTTCCAAGTTCTTGTTGGCAAATTCAGACTGTACTGCCTATCTTGAATCTGTTCATGCACTTTTATGATAAACTAGAGGTTTGTTCGTTCTTCTAAATGGCTACAGGTCTTCTACATTTTAACTAGGTTACTAGGTTAGTTCCTATTTGTTCCTTATTTAGCATTTTTTCTTTTTATTGAAAAAAAGAAGAAAAGGAAAAAAACACAATAACCAAGGAAGAAAATAAATGAGTTTCTTGTCCATTTTTAGCTGTCTGTTTTCTCTCTTAGTTACTTACATATCCATATTTATAGCGTTAGTTCTACCCTAATATATTCCTTTAGTGCCATGCATGACATACACATCGAGTATTAAATTCTTAGGCTTTCACTAGTTCAACCCAGTAGCTTTATAATTTATAGTATATAGTAGTTGGCGTAATCTCATTATCTATTTGCTTCATTTATTTCTTAAACCATCATAGAATGTTTCGTTCCACCACCCTAGGTCTAAAACTGAACTCGAAACTGAAGTACAAGTTGAAATAAGCAAACTCCAACCATAGTTCAAGGCAAACTTAGATGCAAAATTTGGGACAAGATTTGATTCTTGAATAGAATTATATTAGAATAAACTGTTAGGATAATTGTAGCCATACGAATAGAATTTTTATTTGGATAAACCAATGCGACGAACAAAATAAAAAGCCTACATTCACGGGCAAAGAGGATAAGAAAATCTACTAATAAACTGAAAGCAATTGAAGAACAGGAGAGTAAACTCAAATCCTGAACCCAGTTCTACCCAGTTTGCGCATCTCTCGAATAATTAGCATAGTAAAATAAGAGATTAAACAGAATTTTACTGTGCTCAACAATAGGAAAAATTCCTAAAATTGGGACTAGACTCACGAGAAGGAACTCTCAAATTTATTCTTGCTCTCACACTCCTTTGTTGTGTTGTTTCTTGTGCATAATCCGTAAGATAATATTTATATTGGTGCATGAGAGAGGAATCCTTATACAATAAGGATTTGAATTACTTCTCAAGTAGGATAAGAATTTGAGCCCTCCTATTAAGACTTGACTCTCACGTCACTGTAACACACTTCTTAATCTTGGATCTCAAGCAGAAAGAGATGCTAATCTTCAAGTTCTAAGTCTTTAAGTCAATAGGAATTGGAAAATCGACATGGATTACCAAGCTCCAGATTGCCCTTAGGTATCATCATAAAAGGTGCAAATCAATCATTGAAAGGTTTGCGTACTTAATGTGATTTCTAAGTTTTTTACAGCTAAGTTAGATGTTAAGATAGAGCCGCATCCAAATCTTTTAAGACTTGTTTTTGATGATGGAGCCACTTTCATAGTCACTCGTTGGTATAATATTCCTGTTGAGGTTGAGTTAGGATAAAATTGAATGTGATTTTACCTAAGAAAACCACTTATTTTGTTTTTGGTCACCCTTAGTGTTATGACATGGGCTGACTATTAATGAAAGGGTAATGGGGAGCTGATACTTGTTGAACCTTCTTGATGTATCAATAACGAGTCTGAATCCAAACCTGAGATTATTCCCCAAGGTACCCGCGCTTAAGACCTGGGCCTTACATTTTGAGTCAAGTTGATTTTGAGAAAGAAGAGAGGGATGGCAAGTGGGATAGTGCACTATGCTCGCTGGAATATAATCTCTATAGACTGTCCTAATAAATGTAATAATGTTCAGGACCTTAATAAACTCTCGGATGTTTTGCCTTCTAACCTTCTTGAACCAGGGGTCTCTAGCTTGATCTTATGTTATTGACTAATGTTTCGAAGACGAATGAAGTTGCTGATTTGATAAGCTTAGATCCTCGTGATCTAAATCTCATTTCCATCTAAGCTTAAGTCCGACTTTGCTTCGGAGTCAATTCAATCGACAAATGAGTCGAATGATGTAAAGTATAATCAATTACTAACTTGCCTGACTGGATGCCCTGAAAGTATTTTAGTTAACTACCACCAATGAGGGGCATACAACATCTGG